CACTCTGAAACCTGAATTAAATGCTTTTATAAGCAAATTTGGTCATGGTCTTTTATTGTAGCAATGGAAAAGCAATAAAGACACGACAATGTGGGAACAAAAATCAACCCTCCTCCCCGACTCTTACATGCCATTCACTGCAATTCTTCTAATAGCAGATGTTTATGGATGCCCCCTCCACACACACCAAAGCAACAGGGTATTCTGTAGTATATCTTAATCGTGACAAGTCTATCTAGAGAGAGTGTCAGATTCCATGGGTTGAGGGTTCAACCCCTTTTCTTCATTCAAGTACTATTGCAAATAGTATGTTGTTACCAATACATCTGGATGGCTGGCTACGATTCAGGGTCTCCATGACCTCCTCTTCCTGGTGGATTAATTTGCTAAAGCGACTTGTTAATAAGAGACACAATGACATGCAGATGAGCAGCCACATGAAGAGATCCACAGGGCAGGGTCTGAAGGATTTCTGAGCACAGGAGCTTTTATCCCCACAGAGTTGGGGTGTGCCAGCCACTCTGCTGGCGGGGGACATGTTTCCCAATTCAGAGCCCATGGATCAGGGATGCATTTTTTTTCTTGAAGATGTCATCATGTAGCATGACTGATTACTAACTCAAGTTACAGTCTTTCTCCCTTTCTCTGGAAAGTGTGTGTGTGGTGGTGGTGCGTGTGGGTGTGTGCGTGTGAAAACTCCAGGCTTTTGATTGTGGTTTATTTCTGGTGAGCTGCTCCATCCACAATCTCATCTAGAGTCACCTCATTAGGAAAAAAACAAAAACAAAAACTTGTTCCTGCTAAACAGAAGATTCTAAGGGATTTGAGCGTTCCCATCTCTCAGGAAACTATGAAGGTTTTAGAAGTCTTAAATCAAGGTCAAAGGGCAACTGGCAACTATTAGAAGGAAAGATGTTCCACTTGAGTCTTTAAGAAATGGTAAGGGTTTTAGGAACCCTAGGACAGGAACCAGAGGCATAGACTAACATATAAATTTATTATTATTTTCACCTGTTGCAGTCAGCCCCTTTATACCTCAAATTCTAGGCAATCACTGATCTTTTTGTTTGCATGATGGATTAATTTTATCTTTTTCTAGAATTTCATATAAATGGAATCATATAATATATATTATTTGTATTTGGATTATTATGTTTATAAAATACACACACACACTATGTCAGTGGTTCTCAACCTATGGGTCACAACTCCTTTGGCGGCTGAATGACCCTTTCACAGGGATCACTTAAGGCCACCAGAAAACAGATATTATGATTCATAACAGTAGCAAAATTACAGTTATAAAGTAGCAATGAAAATAATTTTATGATTGGGGTTTACCACAACAGGAGGAAAATTGTGTTAAGGGGTTGCAACATTAGGAAGGTTGAGAACCACTGTAATAGACCATTAATTTTTTTAGTTGTAGAGTCTCCAATTGGCTAAATTTACCACACTTATTTACCTTTTCTACTGTTGGTAAACCCTATGTTGTTTTCTGCTTGAGCCAGGAGGGATGGCAATATGCTTATATATTGTCTTAATGTGGATATCCTTTCTCTTGAAGAAATATATAGCATTGAAAATTCTGGGCCTGCTGCTATTTTATAGCTTTAGAAGAACTTGTGCAGCTGTCCTCCAATGCTTTAGCCTCTTTCATTTCCTCAAACTGTTTCTTAAAAGAGCTCAGAGAAAAAGAGAGGACTTAACAATGGGAGACATAACTTTGTTTTTCTCTTTGGTGTGCTTCTTATTTGAAACACATTTAGCTTTCTTTTTCCTTTCTGAGAGAGACACAGTTGGGAGAAACAAAATAGTTATCTGATCCTGAAGCAAGAGGAATAGAAGAATATGTTAATTGCTTTCTAGGCTAATGGGTGGGTTTGTTCCACTGAAGAAGTCCTGTTTATTCCTTTACTCAGAGATTTGGATTCATTCTAACTCAGCCTTAATGGCCCAATCGTTTGTACACTTCTCAAAGTAGGGCCAACAGTCATTCCTTTGACCTCATTCATCTTTCCATTTTGGTACTGAGTAGTTTATAGCCATTTGTATTTTCATGATTGAGTATCTCCCTTTCTACACAAGAGTAACCAAAACGCTTTTCATCCCGCCTCATAGTAGAATCCAAAAGCATTTGCATAAATATGCAAATGAATAACTAGAGAACAGGGCTGCCAAGTCAACAGTTGAGGTTCTATGAGTGAAGTGAAAACCTGCATGTGTTTGTCATTTGCCAGCTCCTCCAAAGGACAAGGGCAGGCAGACTCATTCAAACAAAGCTGAGATCATTCACTTATTGTAAAGAAAGCACCATTTGGAAGACTCGGGCTTTTAGAAGGAAAGGGCCAAAGGCGGATAGGACTAGAAATTCCAATCTGGTATTGGGCAGACCATTCAAAGTGGAGAGTCATATGGCAAAAATTCACCAGCTAAACGGCTTAGATGAGGCACATACACTGAGTGGTGGGCTCTAGCCCAAGTCATACTTTGATAAAGTAGAGAGTCTTTCTTAGAGAACTTTATGTTGACCTGAGAAGGGAAGCTAGTTGAAGAGTTCATTTTTGGGGGGAAAGAATACCCCACTAGGTGTCCAAGGAGTTCCCCCCAAAATATATAGCTTATTTACTGAATAAAATTTTTCTGAAACAAACTGTAAAGCCATACTGATAAACACTTAGTTCTCTAGTTAGACTGAAGATAATTCATCAATAACCAAACAAAACTCCCTAAAACTATAGAATTGTTGATATTCATTGTTAAATCTGAGAAGCCTGCAGACATGATAGCACTGTCAACTGCTGTATTATTTTCCCTATCTTCTCATAAGGGAAAATAATAACGTCTCAAAGGCACATTCAAGAATTAAGATATAGAATTTGTTGGGTTTTTTTGTGTGTTTGTTTGTTTTTTGAGATAGGATCTTAGTTTATCCCTCATTGGCCTGGAACTCACTCTGTGTCTTATTAGGGTTTCTATTGTTGTGAAGAGACACTGTGACCATAGCAACTCTTATAAAGGAAAACATTTAATTGGGGCTAGTTTGCTGTTCAGAGGTGTAGTCCATTATCATCATGGCAGGAAGCATGACAGCATGCAGGCAGACATGGTGCTGGAGAAGAAGCTAAGAGTTCTGCAACTTGATCCTTGAGCAACCGGAAGTGAACACACATGTGTCCCACTCTAGGTGTAACTTGAGCATATGAGACCTCAAAGCTTTGCCCCATAGTGACGTTCTTCCTCCAATAAGGCCATACCTACTCCAACAAGGTCACAACTCCTAATAATGCCACTCCCTATAGACCACATGTAAGCATTCCAGGCAGATGGGGATGGGTTAGGTATTCTGGCACTCTGGGAGTCACAGAATACTGAGTGTTACACAGTTCAGGTGGAAAGGTATCCTGGATCTGGAAGCCAAGGACCACCATAGGTTGTAGTAAGCTTAGCAGCTTACAGCCTTGCCTCAGGGAAAGGCTTCCCCAGTGTATCGGCTCCACTCCAGCAGGACAGGTTCTTCCAGCTGGGGATGTTTGCCCAGTGTGTGGCACCCACGCCACAATAAGTCCAAGGTATTGGGAAAAGAAAGACAAGACATCCAGCTGTTTGTACTAAGAGAAATGTATGTGCTGCCTTTATTGCCAGGAGAGAGAGAGTGTGTGTGTGTCTTTATTGCAAGTGCTAATAGATCTCTCTCTTGTGGGGAGGGAGGAGCACAGTGGAAAAACCCCAGGTGGAAGAGAGCATGCTTTCCTTTTGCTGGATGTTGATGTCAGAGGGTCAAGGCCAGGGCAGGAAGACAGGACTAGAAAACAGGATGCACTTAGTCTGGAAAACAGGATGGACTTGTGGACTGACCAGTGACTCACAGAGACCCCGTGGGGGGCTGGGGCTCAACACCAGTGTAGCAGTTCTGCGCATCAGGAGGTTTCTTGGGCGAAGTTGCTACAGTTCAGCTCTGCTCCTGGAGAGCAGAGAATGGAGATTGGAGTGCAGAGTATAACAACTCTGCTCTGCCAAGGGAAGGTTTCCCTGGCAAAAGTGTTACAGCCCTGCTCACTCTGCTCTGCCGAGGGTCGCCTCTGCTCCACCACCACTGCAAAAGATCTTCATCCAAAGCTCATCCAAGGGGTTTATTGGCAGGGAAGAATCCAGGAGAGTGGCTGCCCTCTGCCAGAGTGGCAGAGGACAGCCCGATAGCTGAACAGCCACAAGCTGAACAGACACAGGGTTTATATAGGGCTTCCAGGGTGGGGATTGGTCAGATTTTATTGTAGGAGGAAGCCTGTATGCCGCCATTAACCATGTGACTTACTAGAGGCGCATACAGATAAGGTAATAAAAGAGCGGTTTACCACACTGCTAACCACACCCACTTTAAGCATGACTAAAGATGTATACGTACGTAGGCGGTGAACTATGTCACTAGCCAGGCCCACTTTTGGGCATGGCTAGGGAGCATTACAGGGGAAGGCATAAAAGACAGCACAAAGGAAGTCTTGGTCTCTTTTCCCGAATTTTGGCTTCCAGTTCGGCAGCGGAAAACTACTGGGCTCATCTGGGTTACTTGTTTGGTATCTTGTGAGTAATTTCTACAATAAATACTTAGTTTTACTTTCAGTAAGTGTGCCATTTATCGTTTGGTGTCAGAAGTGGGATTTTAGTGCTGAGCTTAGATTGGCTAGAGCTCTGCTTGAGGATTGGATAGTTTTCTGCACAGGATTAGGGTCAGATCTGGCTGTGGTCTCAGGGCCAAAGTGTGCTTCTTTCTTTGGTTCTTTTTAGCCTTTTGGCTCCAATTTTAGGAACAGGGTGTATTTCTTTCACTGACTCTGATTCCAGGGACAAAGTGTGTTTCTTTGGCACTGGTTTCAGGGTCAGGGTACATTTCTTTTGTTCTGGTTGCAGGGCCAAAGTGTTGCTTTGGCTCTGCTCAGGATGTGTTTCTTTGACTGGTCCCTTTTCCCTACACCACACATTCAAACATGAGTCTTTGGGGCCATACCTATTCAGCCACCAATTATATAACCCAGTCCAGTCTGAAACTCACAGCAATCTACCTGCCTGTATCCCCAAATGCTTGGAGACTTCAGGAGCATGGCACTTCATCTGGCAAGATGTGCAATTGTGAGTTCCTACCTTTTCTTTGACTTCAGCTTCTTAAAAATCCTCTGCTAGATAAAACTTTATCTCTCCACCTCAAAATCTACTAGGAACAGAAATGGAAGAAAATACTGGTAGTGTGCCACCACAGCAGCAGGAGTCTCTATTTTAAAGCTCCGTTAGCAGCAGTAGTTGAATCACAATTAAGGTTGCCCAATTGGTCAGCCTAGCTATTTTTTGCCAGTGTGAGGAGAGGTGAGATCTTTACAGGACTTCCTGAGCTTGAGGGACATTTCAGTCTAAGTTAAACAAGACTTGGGAGAAAGGAACGCAGAAAGAATTACACAGAGACAGTTCAATGTAATGAAATAAGCTTGTTTCCCTGCCTGCTGGATGCTGAGCCGCACTCATCTGACTGAAATAGAACCCAGAACCAGTTAATAAAGCATTTCAAAGCTTTCATTGCCTGCATGCTATGCTTGATTGGCAGTCAAGACTTGCCACACCAGTGGTGGAGGGAGCATGCTGAGGCTTGTGCAATTTCTGACAGGACTTGTATGGTGAGTAGGGACATAGGAAACATTCTAACCATGGAAAATAAACATCTCACCTCCCAATGGCTACACTTCTGAAAACACCATGGAACAAAGACTCAGTATTATGAACAGAGCCAAGAATTTCCCAAAAGGGAGGGTGGAGCTTGGCATAGATTTTCTTTTCTTCCCTTGCATAATATCGTCATATCATCTGGGGGTAGTATGTGTGGAAAGGAGCCTTTAGAAAGATGATTGTGTCACAATTTATGGCTTCCCTCACCAACTAAATCTTTGGTATAGCCCAGCAAGCCTGGTTTCTCTTTTCCTTTTTAAATCATTCCTTTACTTTTCATAAAATATTTATCCATAACATTTAGATTAAATAAATCTCCCAAACACAGGGGACTTATCTCTTTGGCCCCTCAGTCCTTACTGCCCATGACCCACTTTGATCTCTTCAAACCTTTTCTTCTGGTATTTACATTCATTTGCTTGCATTCTCCTTGGATATATCCATTTTACATCCTGTGTGTCAATCCCCTCAGCATTATGTAAGGATGCCACACCTCTGCAGGGCTCTTTCTGTTTTCATTTCTCCCTGTTCTGTAGCAGTTCTCATCTGAATTGTGACACACAGGAGTCACATAAGGTTATCTTCCTTGTGCACTGCCTCATTTTGTTTCTCAGTTGCAGTTTTGTATGCTCACCTTAGTCTCTTCCCACCAGATCTGCCAAAACATCTAATATATCAGGTAATTTGTTCTTTCCATGTTCTCCTTTGCAGGCCTACCTGCCAGGATCCTCCACCTTCCTGTTTTCTTGCAGTTTTGAAAAGTGTTGTGTGGTTGTCCCTCTACCATTTCCTGTGACCTTCCCTTTTCTAGGATGGTGCCTTTTGTTTTCTATTCTTATTCTCATCTGCTTAGTTTCCATGAGAAAGAGTACATGGGCAGCATTATATTTTAATTTAAGGAATAAACATATTTATACTTTGACCGTATATAGATTTCTGACTGAGATTCGGCAGCTCATATCTTTTAGTGCTTGTTCTTTCAGGAGACCTGGGTTCAGTTGCTAGCACCTAACCCTTGTGCCCTCAGAGGTCAGAAAATGGCATCGGATCATCTGGAACTGTAGTCACACATGTAGGTGCTAGGAACTGAACCCAGGTCTCCTGAAAGAACCAGCACTCTTAACTGCTGACCCATCTCTCTATCCCTACACATTTCCATTTAGTTTTTTTTAAAGATCTATTTATTTTACAAATGATTTGCCTGTGTGTATGTATGTGTATGGTTGTGACTCATACACCTAAAATGAAAATGAATAAATCTAAAAAGATTTTTAAAAATCTAAGTTCTTACATCTAAACTAATTTTTCCTAGTATTTCGTTATTTACTGTTCTTTCTTTGTTCTTTTTAATTTTTGATAATTTGCATATAGGACTTATTTTAGTGTGTTAGCAAGATATTACTAACACATCAAGCCTACAATGTCACGGATACTATTGCTGAATACGAACGGTACATATTGAGGTGAGTTAAGTAAAAACATATTAAGGTGTGATGGTTTAAATATGAAGGATTTCTCATGGGTTCATGTGCTAAAGGTTTGGTCTCCAGCAAGTGATGCTATTTGGGGAGGTGAAACCTAATTGAGAAAAATAAGTAAGTCACTGGTATTGTGCCTTGAAAAGACACACATCTTGTTTCCTTCTGATTCTTTCTCCCATACTCTGCTTCCTAGTCACAGTGAGGTGGGCTACTTTGCTTCACCATGTGCTCTTCACACGATGTTCTGCCTCACTATGCTGATATGCGACAGAGCTAAATAAAGTCATGAGACAAAATACATTCTTCATCCTGTAAATTGTTTTGTCAAGGGCTGGAGAGATGGCTCAGAGGTTAAAAATTGTTTTGTCAAGGATTTTTGATCTCTTATTGGATTGGGGGCTCACTAATGATCTAGACTGGCCAAGAAATGAGCTCCATGGATTCACCTGTTTCTGCTACCCTCCTCCCCAGTGTTGGAGTTACAGAAGCATGTTGGATGCTTGACTTTTACTTGGGTGTTGGGTATCCAAATGAAGGTCCTCATGCTTTTGTGGTAGGAATTTCATTAGTGGCACTATCTCCCCCAACCTGGGAAAATCTCAAAAATTCTCATTGAGCCTATTAATCTGCTATAACTTTTAAATTACTGCATTCTCAGCAAGCACATACACAACGAATTTTAATTTTCCCTCATAATTAGATGCTATAGCCTGTGTGCCAGCACATTTCAGATAAACTCTGAGACACAATATAGACAGGCTGGTACCCTGCAGTTGCACTGTCCAGTGCAGTAGATGCTAGGTGTAGGGACTATTTAAAATGAAATTCACTAAAATTAAACAAGATACTCAGTTATGCAGCAATATCTCAATGACCTTGTGGATACATGCAGCTACTGACTACAGTGTTGGAGATAAAAATATGGGATACATTATCGCCAAAAATTCCATTGGTAACACATCAGCACATACAGCCAACTTTGGTTACAAAGTCTACTTTGAATTGAAAAAAAAAGAAACCTAAACATTTAAACATACCAAACTTGGCTAATTTTTGAGTGTGTAAACTAAAGTGTAACATAAATATGGATGAGAATAGATGTCATGACAATCATGGTACAAAATAGCCCCATTGGTTCAAATTTAATAGAACCAACCCCTTTTCAAAACTCCGTGTAAGTGGAATCATTTGATGTGTTTACTGATTGACAAACATCTATTATTTCTAGAGGTGTTTTGCAGGCTTTTTCATATTTCTACATTGATTATTATGTTGTATATGCAGGGACTTCTTCCCAATATCAGAATTTTGGTGACGGCCTATTGAGATATCAGAGGTTCAGTTGTGTGGAACAAAGGTACAGCAACTGCTCTCTTTCCTTTTTCATTTCTGTCTCATGTCACTATCCATAAATCATGTCCTGATGAAATGTCACATCACAGGATGGTCTTCGTGACCCCTTGTGAGTTATTCACTGTCCTAAAATCAATCAAAAGCAATGTGTCAGATTTCCTTTTAAAAAGTTATTATAAAAAAAGTCATAGCCAGCAAGCCCATGAGTCACTTACTCCATATACTCAGGGGGTACATGTGGCTCCTTTAGCACTCACACAATGAAATGGACCTAGAACCAGAGGCCCTGCAGGTTGTCTGACAACAGCAGGACAAACATCAGCCCAGCAGTGAGACAGCTGTGGAACCAAGGAAGAAGGGGGTTGACTCTGTGCCCCTCAAAAAGCTTCAGGAAACAAACCACAGCTGGTGTCTTCTAGACACTGAGGGTCCATCATCTGTTTATGGGAAACCACCCTCCAACCACTGGCTGCTCCCTCATGGAGTTTTCAAACAGCTGAGCCCACACAAATGACAGGCTGAAGTTAACCCTGCTTTCTCTAATTGTGGACTATCAAAAATACCAACATGCAGGAGGTGGCGGGACACGGGTGTTTTGCACATCAGGGTTGCTGGCTCTCAGATGATACACTTAATCTGCTGTGGCTCCAGAATTGTCCTACAGAACGTGAAGGTGGGTGAGGGATATAATTCCTCTGGGCTATCCTAACTCACTAGGTCTTAGATACCATTAAACTGGCTAGAAAACAGGAAGCAGCAAAGATGCTCAGAGCCAAAAATAAAGCCCTGGTGCCATGTCAGGAAATTCTGAGGACACAAAGGGAGTCTTTTAATTAGGACTGAGCTGCCATAATGTATCTACAAAGCAGACCTAGGAGCTCTTGGCATGTGCTCCACTCCCTCCAGGTCTCAGAAGCCAAAACAAACAAACAAACAAACAAACAAAAACAAAATTCACATCTGAGTGAATAGGGGAAAAAGTAAGTCAAGATAAAACCTATATCTCTAGGGGTGGCTTTTCTCTCTGTCTCTTTGTCTTTTCTTTCCCCTTCATCTCTCTCCTCTCCCCCTCCTAGTAATGCATGCCTTTAAATGGATTCTTCCAAGTCCCTCAGTCCTCTTCTGCATTTCCAGTCTACAGAGGCTTCCGAAGACTGCCAGAGTTGTTGGTAGGGACCTGGTTTATTATTTTGTTCATCAATCAATGTAAGCATTTGGCCACAGCAGAACTTTTGATATGCTAGTCATTTCAGTTTAAAATGTAAAGTAACTTTTATCTTTTTTTCTTATTAGTAAGTCAACATGTTAATGTTGTATAAAAGGTAGAGACACAGAAAAAAGAAAGCACATTAGTGTGTATCCTGCAGGTCTGGGCCCCTCAGCATTGTCAGGGTCCTGACATTTGGGGCTAGATGAGTCTTTGCTGAGGAGGGATTCCTGGGCAGGGGTGTATGCTCACCAGCATCTCTGGCCCCTACCCACCAACTGCCAGTTACAACTCCCTCTCCATTCACTGCTCCAGCTGGGACAACCAAAATAGTTTCAGGCATTTTCTATCATCTCCTGGGATGGGGGCAAGCTCTCAGAACCACACTGCCTTTGTCATACTGGCTTCAGAAGATTTTCTGACTGAAGTCCCCACTTACTCTTTTCTGCTCCGGGAGACTTGATGACACTTATAAGGTACTGAAGGAAATAGAATAAAAGCTGTCTGCTTTACCACTCCCCGGTGGAGGCAACTGGAGCTCAGGGTAAGCTGGGCTGCTTTTATTCACCCAAGGCCATCTGAGAAGCTGAAACCAGAAATAAGAGGCATAGTTGAACTTGGCTTATCAGGGAGAGGGGCTGCTGCCTTAGAGTAGTGGTGTATGGCCAGGAAAGGGTAACGCTCTATTGCAGGTTTTAAGCGGAATGACTCCTGTAGTTTAAGGAAATTTAGTCAACCATGCCAGAAATCACAGAAGGGTGACATGACAGCTATTGTGTACATTTTTCCTGGCTTTACCAAAGCTCAGGTAGCTTTTGAGGTCAGGGACTCCTAGTTTCAAAAGCTCCATTGCTCCTGTAAGCTGACCGCCTGCAGCAACTGACAAGTCTGGTGTCCCTGAGAAGACTTTGCTCTTCCATCCCCAGAGCATTTAGCTCCTGGCATGACACATGTACCTTGCCTCTGTCTTGGTGTAGTGCACAGACCCTCTGTGTTTCTTGGCTAGGATTTCACCTGGCAGAAGGCCACCATACAGAATGGCCCTCCAGTACTGTGTCTTACCCTCATAGCTTCCAGTCCTGAGCTGTGTGGGGTTAGTGGTCCACTCAGGTGTTTTGCCATCTTTACCCAAAATCCAGACACTGACGTTTTTATTTTGGTGTTTCCAGAATGAGGATCTGGGAGCTGCCAGGATTTGAGTCATATATAGAAAAACAGGTTTTAAGGACTACTACCAGTTAAAGACCAGTAAGAATTAAACCTCACTTTGTTCCATGGAACATTTTCTCTTCTTCATCTCTTTCTTCTTACTTTAACTTAAGCACGATTCCCCCAAAGTACTAAGTAATGAAGAATGAGACAGCCTGATAATATTTATGTCTGGAGCAAAGCTTCCGTCAGAGAAGCAGAAGCCCTGAGCTGCCTCTAAGTAGCCAGTGTTCTGGTCAAACAATCTTGTTGCTCACACACTTAGAATATAGAGAAATGACCAACATGTGAAGGAGCTTTAACGGTAGTGTGTTTGCTGGGGGTCAGTCCCCTGGGTCCTGCTCAATATCTTTAAATATTCCTTCAATCTAAGGCTGACAGAAAGATGCACAGGGTTTGGGGAGGTAGTTGGGTAAGTGGGATAGACTCAGCTCTTAAGCCCATGTTGTCCTACATGCTCCTAACCTCAGGCCCATCTTCCAGAGACATTGGTGACTCTATAATGTCAAATTCAGGGTTCTATTACTCATCTTCAGAAAGGTGTGGGCCAGACCAATCTCTATTTTACAAGGTTGCAAAGCAGAGCCCATTGGATATATGTAAGGGCACTAAGAGAGGCGACCCACTTTTCTTTGGCATCTTTTGAAGGTCAAGAATGCTTAGGCTGGAAGGGTGGCAGTGAAGAAACCGCAGAACAAGCACTCTGACATTGCTTCCTAAGTCAGCCTGTGAAGCCTATCTTGCCCATTGGTGGACCCTAATGCCTGAAAGCCTGTGAGTCAGAAAACAGCAGATATGGAGAAAAATGATTATCGCTACCTAAAGAAATCAGTATATATGGTCTTCATTAGGGGCACTGTTGCTATGATGAAACACCATGACTGAAGTAACTTGGGGAGGGAAGGGATAGACTGGACGGATCACAGTCTATCATCATGGAGACATGAGCTGATGCAGAGACCATGGAAGAGTGCTTACTGTCTTACTTCTGGCTTGCTCAGCTATTATCTTTTCTTTGTCCTTTTCTTTTTAAAATTTTATTATTAGTGTGCCCGTGTCCAAGTTTATAAGGCAAGTGCCCCATCTCACTGAGCTTGTTTGTATATTTTTAATTGACAATTGTAATTTTAAATAGAAAATATATTCTACTCTCATACAATACATCCTGACCACAGATTCCCCTCGTTCCACTCATCCTGTATCCTCCCACACCTGCCCCAACACCTCTCCCTCCCCTAGGTCCACCACCCTCTATGTTCAGAAAAGATCAGACCCCCCACGAGACAACCAAACAAGACAAAACAAAACACAGTAAGACAAGGCATACACTCTTACCTCAAGGCTAGACAAGGCTACCAAACAGGAGGAAGACTCCTAAAAGCAGGCAAAAGAATAAAAGACATACCTACCCCCACAGTTAGGAATCCACAAAAGCACCAGAGTAACAGCCACCACAAACACACAGAGGACACGGTGCTGACCCCTGTAGGCCCCGTGCTTTCGGCTTCAGTCTCTCTAAGTCCATACAAATTTGCTTAGTTGTGTGGACTTGCTGAGTTGATTCAGTGGGCCATGTTCTTCAGTTCCTCTGACTCTTACAATCTTTCTTCCACAGTATTCCTTGAGCTCGAAAGTGAGGGAGACCTCCCATTTAGACTCTTCTTGGCATAATGTCAGTCAGCCTGTTTTCTCATAGAACCCAGGACCACCAGCCCAATCAATCACTATTTAAGAAAATGCCCTACAGGTTTGCCTGCAGCCCAGTCTTGTGGAAGCATTTTCCCAATTGAGGATCCCTCTTCTCAAATGACTTTAGCTTATGTCAAATTGACATAAATCTAGCATTTATACAATAAGGACTAAGGAGTACTAAAAATAACAGATATGGGTGGATAAACTGGGAATGAAGTTTTCAAGTCAATTTTCTCATTTTCTATAATGTGGCTTCTTTGCCTTTCCAATGAAAAAGAAAAGAAAGGAAGAAAAGGCTGGGAATGTAGTTCTGTACTAGAGCACTTGCCTACCATGAGCAAATCCAGGCCTTGAGTTTGATCCCCACTGGCACAGGGGGCACAGGGTGGAAGAAAGAGTGGAGGGAGATGGGAGAAATAACTCTAAAGCTTTCCTCGGTTCTCAGAAGTGAACTGAGGGGTAGGGCAGTTAATGGTTGTAGCTGCCTAGTTTACCTGTGTGACACTGATTTTCTTACCCAGAATTGAGCTTAAAGGAACCTCAGGGCCTCCATTTTGTCTGAAGACAAACAAAACTTGAAGTTTACAGAGTCTGTGATAGCCACTCACCACACTTGAGTGAGCTCATTGAAGAGTGGAAACAGAGTCTACAGATAAAGAAGGACTAGCAGAAAGGCCTAAGCACACAGGTATGTAGAGAATATACACCCCGAGGAAGAGGAAGATGCAAAGCATGCTGGAGAACTTGACTTCAGGAGCCTTTTCCCTTTTACTTGGCAACAGCCCTATTAACTAATGTCAGATTTTCTCTTCAAGAAGTTGGATGTTACTCAGGGGAGATGAGATCTTTAAGAGTGTATTCTGATCATTCCAGAAAAACTCCTTCAGGTACAACTGCCTCTACAAATGGATCTCTCAGATAGAGTCTAAGAATCACTGATTTTAGGTCGATTACCTGTGAAGAAAGTGACCCCCATTTCTTCCCTCCCAACTCCTCATCCCATAATAAACTCACCAGTCCCTTTACCTCCATTTACTTAAACCAGTTGCTCCCTTTTGCCAAGACCTTAGAAATCTTATTTCTAAGTATGTTGAGGAACTCCTTGGGCAGGAAAACTCAGTCTGAGTTGGTGTTTGTGTGTGTGTATGTGTGTGTGTGTATGTGTGTGTGTACACTTATGATTATTGCAGACACTCCATATACTTTAAACCATCCCAATTTATGAGTCTCAGAGCTTAGAGGCCAAGATCAAGAATCCTTCTGGCCTTCTGTAAGTCACATTTTTCCTCAGCCTAGGATGACATTCCTGTTGGTGTGGTGCAACCAAAAAGTCATTTGATTACTAGAGAATATCCTAAAAAACAAACAACAAAACCCAACAGCAATAAAAATAAAAAACAAACAAACATGGAATTCATCTAGGATGGAGCTGTCAAGAAAACGAGGAATTCTGATATCTACAGTGATGGTGTTACCAGTGAGAACATTCCTTAGTGGAGTCTCCACATGGAACTTGCAGAGTAAGATGGGAAGGAAGGGTGTGTGGAGGGGTATGTTGGTGAATATTTATTGTCAACAGGACAGTATTTTAGGATCACCAATGTGCATACAATTCCAGTGTGTTTAAGGAAGGAAGACCCGCCCTGAATGTAGATGGCATCTCCCTACAGTCGGGTCCTAAGATCAGCACAGTGAAGAAAGAGCCGAGCATCCATTTTTACCTCTTTCAAATGTGAACATCTCCCTCACTTGCCTGCTGCCATGCTTTCCTACCATGGCAGACTCTATACCTTTTCAAACCATGAGCCAATATAAGCCTTCCTTTTGTTGTTTTTGTCAGGCATTGTGCCATAGGAACAAGAAAAGTAATTAGCACATGGGGCTTGACAATGGGGCTGCTGGTTAGGCTTGGAAATGCAGCCAGATGCTGGGTTCTGCAGGACCTGACTCTGTTGGTTGGGGTTGTAAAGGGCTGGACACAGTCATCTGCTGGGATACCGAGAGCAGATGCTTTGCCAACAGCAATAGGGAGGTAGAGTGCAATTCTCAGAGGTCTGAGGCCAAGCCTGGCATCTCAGGTTCTGTGTGAGCCACCTTTGAACGGGGAGAACTTTCCTGCAAGGAAAGCGGGAGCCATGGTGCTTGGTCCCATCCTGTTACTCCCGATCAAAGAACTGAGCCTGCAGGGAAAAGTGCGGAGTTGGAAAGTATGTGCATTTCTTTTGCTTGTTTCCTGGTCCAGGTATGGTTTGGGGAGTCTTCCTGGCTTGTAAATCTGGAAACTTTATAAGGAACTGAACTGGGCATTGTCTCTTGAGCCAAAAACAAGAATGTGGGGAACGAGGTCCAGTAGGACCCTTTTCGTTGAGCCAAACTGTGTTTCCCCCGAGGCTTTGCTGAGTCTGCTCTCTTGGAGAAAGGTGGGTGAGCTGGCCATGGCTTGTTTGGGTGGAGGCTCTGGCATCCCCATGGGGCCCTCTAGGCATATCAGATACTGGCCTCCTGCCGGACTTTACTTAATACCTCTGTGTAGGTGGTGACTATTGGATAAGGACTTGCTCATTTGCCCACTCACACAGGAATGCAGCTGCTGGGGCTACGTCTGAGGCAAGGGCCGGTGAAGGAACACTTGCCACAGCTGGCCAGGACCCTTCCCTGACCCTTTTGCAGCTCAGCCATGTTACAACATCGCCTCAAGGGAAGGCTCTGTTCCCAGAGGCTTTGCCAGCAGCGCACACGAGGGCCAGTTTTGTTCCTTCGGAGACATTCCTTCTTGCACCTCTGGCAGCTACATCGTGGTTTCTCATCGTCCGGATCCCACGTGACTTCTTGTAAAGGGCAGAAGTGATTGGGACAGAGCAGGAACCTGTTCCTGTACCCTGCCTCCAACACACATGTCCTTAGGAAGCCCCCTGTTGGGACATGTGGCTCCTTATTTCTGTCCAGAAGGGACAAAATGGTTCTAAAACCAGACATTCCAAGTCCCTTGACAATCTTTCACAACCTGTGTCAAACCTTCAACCAGGTAAGTGCAGGCAAATATTGCCATCTGTGGGCCAGGAGTTCCACTTTTCCCAGTCCAGGATGCTCTCCTGTTAGAGGGTAAGTTGAAATTACTTTGTCACCCCCAGCCATCTAGACAGTATATGGAGCACTGTGCCTTGTACAACCTTGGCAGTTGATGGGTTCCTACCTAAGAAGGAAGGGAGGCCTCCAGTGCCTCAAATGCCCATCATGTCCCCAGCAGGTTATAAGGTCTCTGACAGGGCAATGTCACATGACAGACAGCTCTGAGCTATTTATTCTCTCTCTGAAAGACATACATTGGAAATAGCTAAAAGTCAAAACAAGCAGCAAAACAAATAACCCATGCAGGCCTGCAGTATCTGCCTTGATAGAAAATTAAACTTGGTCTGGGATTGGGGCAAAGAGTATTTGGGAAGGTCAGCCCATGTGTGTAACTCTGGAAAACTGTCTGGATACTGCCAACTATTGCTAAAATGGCCACACATTTTTCTTAGCCCAGCGTTCGGCTCCTTTGCAGTTCCTCTGCCAAGAGATGAGCCTGTTTCCCCATGCATTAGATCTGGCTTTAGCTGCTGGAATATGGGTAAGTTAGACATGTGACTGTTTTGAACCTGGGCCTCAAGGAGCACTGCACACTTTCTTTTCCTCTCTCGTGACCACTAAGTGAACAAGCTCCAGATAGCCAGCTGGAGGTGACAGTCACGTGGCTAATCATCCTGCTTCAGAGGCTGACAGCCATCCAACCACCACAGGTGGTCATCCCAGAATAGCTAGGTACCAGGTGACCCCTTGTTTGATCACAGACATGCTAGCCTAGCTGAGCATTTTTGATGAGCAGACCCACCTTACCCAGCCACAGGATGTCGAAGAGAAATGAATGGTGGTTGTTAATAGCCGCAAAGTTTGGGAATCATATCCCAGCTCCTCAGGGTTACTGCAAGGATCATCCAAGATGATGCAGCATCATAAACTGGCAGAAAATGCTATCTGATTCCTACCATGGAGTTATGGAAGAGACCGCAGAGCTCTCTAAGAGCATGTGTGAAGCCACATGACAGGAACTTCACTTCCTAAGCTCCCACTATCTCATTTAATTCTAAAAACCCATTTTCAGTGTTTTGAGAATTCCACCCCTGTATAAGACTAGGGCTGAAATCCAAGAGTTATCTGGCCAGGATTCATACTAATAATAGTGTAGCCAGATTGAACTTAGTCCTATGGAAAGCTAAAGGTCACATCTCTAACTATTGTCATTTAAAACCTTTGGTTCATATATTTAAAGACTACCTTTGAGGCCTGCTCACTGAAAGGGATGAATGATAATGCAAAAGAAAGATTAACACATCCTATTTGTAGAAGACCAAAGAAAAGAAAAGCTAGTGGCTTTACTCTGCTGCTGAGATAAAACAGACAGTAAGTCCTGTTTACAGAAGTTATGAGCTGTAAGGCTACTAGGTTCAGGCTGATCTGTTTCAGAAACAGGCTTGGCTAATAGCATAGCTGGCTTGGAGATGAGGGAGCTGTTTGTGCATTCACAGACCTATAGGTTTGTATAGATGTGTATCTCATGTAGGTGAGGTCTCAGTTCCATAATGGCTGAATGAGGGAAGTAGTTATAATCACAGTGTTTGAGTAACAGTCCTGATGTCTTCCTGGGCAACTCCTGACCTCTTAGCACTTCTGTTTCCTTATTTTCAGAATGAAGATGAATGAGATAATGAAAATTGAACCACCACAGGAATATCAGTTGTTGTTATTATTATAAGAGCAGAACCATTATTGAAATTGAAGAGGCTTTGCGTTAAACAAAGACATGTATGGTACTTGGTTCTAGAGCCAAAGCTCCTGGAACAAGGTTCACTGGTTATCACAGAGATTTTTGTGGGTGATTGGAGCTATTAATGAACAATACCAAACATGACAGAAAAACCCAGTTAACTTTGCTCAAGGTAGCCTGGCATTTCTTCCTCCACTTGGAAGTAACAAGTTGCTGGCGTGGATCTAGTTATGCAGTAATCCCCTCTTACTATTCTATACTCTCTCATGATTTTGACTTTTGTCCTCATAGTTAGTGCCTCATGGCCTCAAGATAGCTGCTGCAGTTCCAGTCAAGAGAGGGAAATGGTAGAACCTCGCATTTTCTCAGGTATCTTTTCCTCCTTTATTTAAGTTTTGTTGGTTAGAAATGTGTCTTGACCATCTAACTGGTAAGAGTTTAGCCTTTTACAGACACCATAACATAAACAGTTAAATGAGAAAGTATTTGGGAATTTGTTGGCCTAATCAACAGAGCTCTTACAGGAAAACTTTAAATCTTCAAGTTTTTTGGTTTGTTTATGGTTCCTGACATTTTTTGTCACAAACATATTTTGTTTTATTATAAGAAAGCAAACATAAGATGACTATAATATTTAAATGAGTCAAATAAAATACTTCAGTCTTCCTTCAGTATTGAGCAGGGTCTGGGAACTGTTTGACCAACAGTGATAGCTGCCTACAGCTTTTCCTTGTACCTCTAAAACCTTGCAAATGTCTGATGGTCAGCAACCATGAAAAGCTGCAGCCTGTGATGTTTTTTTTCTCCTTCCTTTCTTCCTTCCTTCTTCCTTCCCTCTCTCTTTCCCTCCCTCCCTTTCTTTTGTGGTAGTGGTGGGTGGAGGAAGGACATATCTTCATGGATTTTTTTCTGTATTATACCTGTAGCCATCATTTTTCTCATTGCTATGACATAATATATGACAAAAACATCCGAAGGAGGGCAAAGTTTCATTTGGCTCATGGTTTGAAGCCTGACAAGGAGAGGGAGTTGTGGGATCAGAAAGTGGGTGTCACTTCTGGGGCCAGTGCTTACTTATGGAGTCAGAAAGCAGAAAGAGATATGAATGCTCAGCTCCCTTTCTCCCTTTTATTCATCTTAAGACCCCTGTTGGTAGTTATAGCACCCACATTTAGAGTGGGGTCTCTCTCCCTGGTTAAGACTCTGTTGAAACACTCATAGACATGCCAAAAGGTGTGTCTAAATCCTATCAAGTCATCAATCAAGACAAACCACCACATTACCCGTACAGATCAGTTTTGGGATTGTTGGTCTCTGTGTGTGAGTGCCTGCTTGTCTGTATGTGGGCCATGAGCATATGGATGCCTGCAGAGGCCAGAAGATGCTACTGGATCCCATGGGTCCCATGGAATGGGCATTATGGTCCATTATGTGGGTTCTGGGAGCCTAATCTAAGCCTTTTGCAAGAGCAGCAAATGCTCTCAATCACTGAATCATCTCTGAGTTCAAAGGTCTGTATTTTTTTAAATCACAGATAAGCAAGAAAAAAATGACTTCAAAATTATTAATGATATGAGGCAAACTTTACAATCAAAATTCAATCCCTCGGGTTGGAGGGATAGCTTAGCCGTTAAAGGCTAGGCTCACAACCAAAATTCAATCCTCTACGCTTTGAGTCTAAAAGAAAAGCCAACAGCTGCTATTGACAAAGTGGCTGCTAAGTAAATAAAGAAGGTAAAAATGACGTACTTGATGTCACAATCTGCAACATGTTAGGGATTAGCTGCTCTTGTCCTCACCAAGGAGGTTAGTTTGGAAGAAAGAATAAAAATGTGGCTTGATTTAGAGCTGATGATATCGTGTGTCTAGTCAGCCGAGATCAAAAGCATGTTGGCCTGTAAAACACTGCTAATGAAACGAGAGCGTAGGCCAGGCTCCTCTTGGGTGTGTCAAAGGGAAGCGTTGCTGGGTAGTGGGCCAAAGGCATGTGAGTCATAGTATGTTCTATGGGTGTAGTTATGGCCATGTGGCCTTACATTCAACCTCACAAGCCCTACAAACATTAGGTTGTGTATGATCCTTCCCCTGTGTACCTGTGACATGGTGACCGAGTAGCTCTGTTTATTTTCCATAGTGTGTGACTAGAGACCTTTGTTTTAGGCTTTCTTTTAAAAAAAATGACTTCATGTATGTGTGCTTGTGAATGTGTGTATGTGCAAGTATGTCCATGAGCATGCGTATACCATCGTGGTGCTGAAGTATGGACCAAAATTGACTTTCCGATTCTCGTTCTGTAAAATTACATTTGGAACAGCCTACCTGAAATAATTATGCATCTTTTGTTCTGAGACTAGAAACCAACACACGGATGATGAGATATGTCCTCTTGAGGTAACTCTGAGGAAAGCTGAAGGTGTTGTGAATCTAAGAAAATCACAGAAGGGAATGTCACACTCCTTTCAATGAAGAATTCGTGTGAAGACAGACAAGAAAAGCATCCTTAGTATGAAAAACTCACTGAAAGAAAATTCTTGCAGCCTACGGTATTTGGTGGGCTGGAAGGAACTTCGTCACGGTAGGCCTTATTATCCTGTGTCAGGACACATTCTTTTGTAAGTACAATGGAAACCATTGGCCTTGCCCAACTCCCTTCTGCAAATTCCATGTGTGCTGAATTTCCACGGAATTCCTATTTATAACACAACAGAGGTGCTGAAGACCTGTCAGAGCCACGCTCAAAGCTTAACTGAAGCACTCTCGTTTCCTTTCCTCCTGGCCTTTGGTTACTGAAAACATTTGCTGAAAATTGCTGTCCCACTCAAGAACTGTCAAAGGTAATTGTGTTGCACAGAAGTTACCAAGAAGCATGAAATAATATGGTTACCACCTGGTGACCAAGTTAATAGAACCTGTCTGATGAGCCGCCAGTCCTGCCACATGTGAACACACCAGTTTCTGTCTGAAAGACACGGCAGCATGAATTGGTAAGGAAGATGTGGATCGGGGGCCTCTTAGTGGGAATTTATGATACAAATCCCCATGTAAGGGCAGCTGTCAGGTCACCAGATCCAGTGAGGTCTATGGTTCTGCGATGGCTGCCTGAGGAAGATGGAGGAGGAAAAACCTTCTGGGGGTGGGAGGGGGGGGATGTGGACCTGAGTGAAACAAGAAGCAGCACTTCAAAAGTCAAGGTCTAGACTTGGCAGCTTTCACAGCTGGCAGTGACCTTGGTGTCTGCTAAAATAAAGCTCAGACTCTTGCATCAGAAGGGGCTCACAGCGAGTCCTCCCTGCCCCCATCCTTTAGCTTCTGGCTGGTCTGTGCCCTTCCAGAGCGGCTAGTACCCCACAGAAGAAAAGAGTGCCTATGCCCAGAACCCACTTTCAGGGTCTCATGTCTTCTAGAGAAGGTGTTGCTCTACTTGAACTTAGATACAGGTGCCTCTATTCTCCTGGCCCAAACTCCACTAAGCCTTCAAATACACGCATGAAACTGTCTACATGAGACTGTCTTTTCCTGTGGTCAGAAACTGTCTGGTTTGGGTAGATGTGAATCCAGTGCTGTCTCATCCAACAGACAAGGTGTGGCTCAGAAATGAAAGCACTGGAACCTGGATCTGGAGTTGTAGGATCCCAGGCTCAAATCTGAACCACCCCAATGGAGTTCTGAATGCAGTCAGCTTATACGTGAGCTTACGTAGATTTCCTGCATTAAAACAAAACAACTTTTTTGTTAGTCACAGTTGAGTATTTGATATTCAGAAAATAATTCTCACTTCTTAAGCAGTAATTAAGTTGAAATCAAGGCTTTCTATGTAATATATACAAATGAAAATATGGGACTTTTCATGTTTTTCAAAAACCAGGTGACTAAAGCCCCCCCCTTTCTTCTGTTATAAGATCTTGTTGCTTCTGGAATCAAACTCAAGGCCTCATGCATGCTAGGCAAGTGCCCTTCCCTGAGATACCTCCCTTGAGAGGTAAGTGTGACCCTTCATTGGCACTTACAAGTGAAGATAGCACCTTCTCAATCAAGTCATCCCACAGAGATAGTGGGCAGGGGGACAGAGACATACAGGCACTATCTGGACAGCTTAAGAGGTGCAGAGAGTTTAGGACCCATACTAAGGGGCCAAGAGATGGCAGGTTTAGGACAGTACAGGAGCCAACACTGCCTGTTACACATACCACTGTTCTATTGACTTACAAAACACAAAGTTGAAGACAAAATGGTTAAGAATTTCAAAATGGTAACCATAACATTAAACCCAATGTGCAGTCTACTGATTGTGAGAGTTAAAATGAATTTTTTCTGGGATGTTGAAATGGCTCAACTGTTAAGAGTGCTTGCAACTCTTACAGAGAATTGAGGTTCAGCTCTTGGCACACACACAACGACTCATATCCATTCAACCACCTGTAACTCTGGTTCTAAGGGATCCTATATCCTTCTTTTAGCATCCACAGGCACTGTGCATATGTGGTACACTTGAATACATGAAGGCAAAACACTCGTATGTACTAAATAAAAGTAAAATCTTCAAAAAGAATTCTCTCTCATCATGTGGCCATATATAGCTCAATAGCTATCAGGAATTTTCTTGGTGGCTTTTGGATTCCCGCACTGTCCTATGTAGTCTGCTTTTAATCCCTGGATGTATTAATGATCTTCCTGTTACTCCTGCTATTCTGAAAGTTCTCAGTCATGTACCTTGGCATGCATTTATTATTACTCACAATCTTGGGCCCTCAGGGAAAAACAAAAAGCAAACCCTTAAACCTGTAAACTCATCCTCTCGGTTTTAGGAAATTGTCTTGCGTGCTTTCCTTGATGGGCTTTCTTTTCTTTGTTTCTTCCTTTGTTTTCTCTTACCGCTTCTTAACAGACCTTGACTCAGTCTTCTAATTTGCTTTTGGTGTTGGTCAGCTGCCCATCGCTATAACAAACTACTTAAGACAATCATCTTGCAAACAGAAGACATTTATTTTCCACCCTTTATACTGGTTCCAGCTGATGAAGTTGGCCTTGTTGCTTTTAGGACTGTGGTGAGGCCGAGTGGCAAAAGAGGATGTGACAGGGAATGTTAGGGTCTACTCATGTTATGGTCAGGCAACAAAGGAGTGAAGAGGGACCCAGCAGTCCTCTCCCCGAAGACCTCCTATAGGCCTCATGGCTTGAAAGACTGAGCAGCTCCCACATATGCCAGCCTAGAAAACAAATGGCAGTTACCTTATATTGTTTAGTGTGATTTTTTTCTCTGCCCTTTGAGAATTTTCTTCAACTTTGTCAGTGTTCTACTGAATAAAAAAAAATGAGACTTGTATGTTTGATTCTTAACAGTTCTGTTTTTCTTTGTTCATTTTATGACAGCCCCTTCTTATATGGATACAATATCTTTTCCTGCTTGAAAATACTAACATTTCATTTTTTTCGGTAGTACTGAAGATTGAACGGAGTACCTCACAAAATGCTAGACCAATGCTCTATCATTAAGCTACATCACCAGCCCTAATGTTTTTATTGGTTCTGTCTTAATACTGATATTTTTCTCTTGGATTTCATTCATTCACGCTGAAATTCTTTGCAGTATCTGATACTTGCTATGATTGAGTACTCTAAGATCATGGATGGGAACATCTATAAACTTCACCACTTGGAGAACAATGCATCCAATCAATGATTCATTGAATACCTCCAAGTCTTTACTATTTAGAAGAGAAGTGCAGTTTCTTTCTAGACTGTGGCTTTCTACTATGGTAGACTTTAGCTCACCTTTGTTTTAATTCTGCTTTTTTTTTCTGGTCCTTATTCATAAACACACTAATTTCATAATGCTCAACATGGGGAAAGAGACTTCCTGGACTTACCCAAGAGGGTGAACTTTCAACAAAAAATCCTTCCCACAGCAGCTCTTATCTGTCTTCCTTCTGAAATATTCCCCACTTACACACAACTAAGCAACTTAGTGCTTCTTCGGGGAGAATTGTCTGTGTTTCTACTTGTCTGAAAGCATCTGGCTTTCCATTTTCTGTGTTCTGCCAAGATAATTAGCATTTTTTCTCTTACTTATCACTTTCCAAAAATGTGTTGAATGTATTCGTGGCAAATGGACTCTCACTCTCTTGGACAGTGTTTATTAATTTGTTTTAAAAGGTTACATGACAGTCACTTTAAATGGGTTTGGAGTAGGAAGAAATGATAGTCATGTCCAGGTATATTTGCAACCTGAAGTCCTGAAGAGATCCTAATCTCTGATGGAATGCAGACTTGTTTACTGTTAGGTGAAGCCTTGCTTTGTAGTCAGTGAAACCGGGAAGTTCTAGAGAAATAACATCTTTTACTCTGTTTCTCATTGCCAAGTTCTGGTCCAAATAGAATTCTAGAAATCCTGGTTATTTAATTTCCAAGGCCTGATGAGACAAAGAGCAGTATTTTAGTAGACAGTTGAATATGGATGTGGCTTGATTCCTGAGAATACCAAGAGATCAGTGGCAGACCAAATGAGAAGCTGCTGCAGAACACACGACAACACAAGAGTTTCTTGGGGACATAGTCTTCCACATTTTAAAGGCATTGCTCCATGGAAGTCAGTCAAGTTGCCACACCCTCATGAAAAGCCTGCCTCCCCAATGTTTGAACACTGAGACTCCCTTCTCTCTCCCCATTCCTTTGTTAGCAGACATGAGGCTGGTGGTTCCAATGGGGGCATCCCATGCTGTTTCACATCCCTGAATTTCTCCTGTACAGCTGTGAATTGATCATCCCAACCCCCTTTTTAATGCTTGAAATCCCATTGGAATTCTCACCTTGTACTTTTCCTTCTCATTCCTCTGTGTTTCTATAGAACTTTAGACTCATTCAATAGAACTTGCTACATTTTACTAGGAGTTTTGAATTTATAGATTGGCAGTTGAATCATGCACAGCCAGGAGAAAATGTCATTGCTCCTGGAATAATGCCCTGCTTCTAACTGCTCCTGAGTACATGCTGGTGGTGAAATCTGACTGACAGTGACAAGCCTTAGTTCCCAGGAAAAATTACATAGTAAGCTGTATATTAGGTTAAAGATTACAAGAGTGATGTGTATTTTTTTAAGTGAAATAAATTTTTATTGTATGAAATTTACCTTAAACATACATGTTGACAGAACGATGAGGTATTGGTTTTCTCATGAACCTTGGTCTGACACCAAATTGTTTTAAGTTTTAGCATCATAGCTAAAGTGTTAGCTATCAGCTGCATCGCTTAAAAAGAAACAGTGGTGACAGATTGTGGGAGGTGAAAAATGTGTCTTTACTGATGTGTGTTTGGGAGTCTGTGTTCCTTGACATAACTGACCCACTCCCCAGATATCTGGACTCAAATCCTATCTTGCTATGGATTCATGTTGCAATTTCCAAGGAGCTTTTATCTTTGCTCCAGATTGATCTTTAATCAGGTGTGACTTCTGACACATTTGCTTTAAATCTCTCTCTACTCCCCTGTCAAGTAGTTAATGATCTCAAAATGTCACAGTGGATTCTCCAGATTTCCCAGGGAGTCCAGTGTGGATAGAGTGACAAAACAAATGGAAAACAGAGAATCACCTGCCTGGTTTTTATGCATACACACTGTTCACTATGTATACACAACATTCTGACTTCATGGGCATGTGAGCCACGAGCAAGCACAGCAAAGGGTCAGCTCAGGAGGTCACTGTGCTTGGCTGAATACTCTTCTCCATTCTCTTGGCATTCTTAATCATTTTGTCTTTTAATTTGTGTTGTGTATGTAAAGTCTGATGGGTCAATGGAGCATAAACACAAATAAGATATGCAGACAGGGCATGTGTCTATCTGCAGTTCTTTGAGGTGCCTTTGTAGTGTTTGCATTGGCCCACATACACAGAGTTCTGGTGGATTTCCAATGCATGGGAACTCACCAAGACTCAACTTACATTATGTCTACAGCATAGAAATAAAGGTAGAATCCTAGTACCTTTCAAAGTATTCACTTCTATATTCAAATCAGATCCTTCTGTGAATGTAAGATGAAAATGGTATTGAATGAAAGTGAATGATCATGAAAGCTTATCATGTCCTGCACAAGTCAACCAGCATACTGACTGAACATGGCACAGAAGGGAAGATAGGGCAATCTAGAGTTCTTTTCCCTTTCATATTTCATTATTCATTGCTAAGCCAAAAATATAGTATCAGTAGAATGTGACTGTATGAAGAAGTAAAATAGTTCAGTTAGTTTTGTATAGTATTTCCATAGTCTTAGCAAGAATGAAATACATCTGTATGAACAAAATACAGAAACTAAAATATAATAATTATAGTAATGCTGTCAAAAATTAAATGGCCTTAAAGTTTCATTTAAAACTGGGATTGTACACTATAAAGTCAATGATAACAAGTTAACAAGTTAAACTTGTAATTTCATCTTTCTAAACTTAATATCAAATTAAGAATTCAACCTGAAAAGCTTGGAAGAAGAACATGGAAAAAAAAAAAAAAGGCTTTCTCTTTTAGTAACTTTAGCAGCATTTCACCCAGTAGAGAAACATTACATGTTGGTATAGTTTGAAATAAGTAGTCTTTATTGTAGTGCTACACATCAGTGTCAGACTTGTCCTTAAGTGAATATATGCTGTAGTGGTCTCTAAGGACAGGGATTGTAATACCATGTATTGCGATGAACCAGGGAAAGAGTTTTGTGGATGATTATATAAGGATCAGACTACACGTGATCATTTGTCCAACAGTACCTGAACATTGAAACCTTTTCCAGTCTCTTTATACTCAAGGAGTGAACCAACACATTGCCAATACTAAGAGAGGTTGCCACTTAGATTAAGGTTCAGCCTTAAATTAATTAGAAAGGAAACGGAAAAATGTGTTACTCAGGTTTTTGGCACTGATGTGGGTGGCTGATACTACTTGTAACTCTAACTCTTGGAGATCCATTGTGTTCTCTTAGCCTCCACAGACACTTGTACTCATGCACACGTATCCACACACATGCCCTGCCACCACTATACCCACACACACAATTTTAAACACACAGAAGTAAGGAAGCCATGAGTCCAAATACGGGCAGAAATTATGAAATTTGAAAGAGGAAAACAGTGGAGCAAATCCAGCCAATCAGAGTTGGTTCTTTAAAAGGAACAATGCAAATTATAAGTCTAGCAAAACTGACAAAAACAAAAACAAATGACAACAACAAGAGAAGTGGTTTGGGAAAATAGCTCATCAGTTAAAGTGCTTACTGGACTAGCAAAAGGACCTGAGTTTGAATACCTAAATTTAACATAAATGCTCAAGGAGTGAAGCTATGTGCCTGTAATTCTAACCTCTGATGACATGGACAGATCTCTGAGGCACCCTGGCTAACCCGAGTAGGCAGATCTGAGAGCTCTGGGTTTGACTGTGAGATCCTGCCTCAGTAAATAAGATGAGGGGAAGATTTGCAACCTTACGCTGTGGCCTCTCTACTTACGTGCACACATGTGAGTATGAATTGGCACACATGTTTTCACAAACGCACACACACACGTGCACACACGTGCACACATTTGTACCACATGCACATATACAAGAGAAGCAAAAAAAAAAAACTTCAAAGAGCTGGAGAGATGGCTCAGTGGCTATTGGTCCTTGCTTTTCAAGAGAGAGCCAATTTCACACAGTTGCCCTCTGACCTCCACCGGTACACCCCCACACATAAATACAACAATAACTAATTAAATGGAACTTCATAAAAGGGAGAAGACAAAACTTAACAACTTTAGGAATAAAATATGCAGACTAGCATTTAAAAATGACAGATGAACAGTTGAATGCATACAAACGCTCTAGCCGGGATGGAATGAAGCAATTTCTTAAGAAACAAAATAGCATCCTGAAAACCCATTCAGGCATTTTTAAAAAATGCTAAGCACAGAGCCAAGAATGTGGCTCAGTGGTAGAGGACTTGCCTAGCCTAAAAATAATCAAAAGCCCAGCTACCTCACTCCTAGATAATTAGAGAAACAAAATCTTATATGCACACAAGTTTTTATATAAATACAGCACAATTGCCTATAATTCACAATTTCAGTGTCATTTAGTGAGGTAATGTGTTAAAAACCCCTCCAGTATATCAATACGGTAGAGTAGTACATATCAATACAAAAGTATGACATGATATAATTCTAGTTAGATTACATTCCAAAAGATATAAAATTGTAGTGATGAGAATAGATTAATGGTTTCCAAAAGTTAAGTAGGTGGAGAACATGACTATAATGTAATAAACCAGGACCATCTCTTTGTAGGTATCTCGTTTTAGGGAGGATTTGATATAATAGTTCTGTATTCATAGAGAAACCTTCAATGTGTGTGTGTGTTAGTGTCTGTGTGTGTGTGTGTGTGTGTGTGTGTGTGTGTATGTGTGCAGGCTGTTTTGTATTTCAATTTGACATAAGTTGGAGTCCTCTAAAAAAGGAGCCTCAGCTGAGGAAATGCCTCCATGAGATCCAACTGTAAGGCATTTTCTTAATTAGTGATCAATGGAGGAGGGCTCAGCTTATGGTGGATGGTGCCATGGCTGGGTTGGTGGTAGTCTTACATCATATAAGAAAGCAGGTTGAGTAATCCATATGAAGCAAGCCAGTAAGAAGCACCCCTCCATGGGCTCTGCATCAGCTCCTGCCTCTAGGATCCTGCCCTGTCTGAGTTTCTGTCATGACTTCCTTTGATAACGAAGTATAACACAAATAATCTCTTATCTCTCCAACTTGCTTTTTGGTCATGGTGTTTCATCATAGCAATAGAAACCCTAACTAAGACAGTATGTTTAGGCATCTTCCTCCTGAGGCTTTCCATATCAGGTAGGCTGCCTGAGCTTGAAGCATCTCCTCACTCCAAGGAAGCCTCCAATTTTAACTGTTGTATGTAACCAACATGTTTTTCTGGAAAGATGGATGCTACATACTTTCCTTATGAGAGTTTCTTCCATAAGCTGCTCTTAGAGTCATTGATGGGAGGTATAAGAAAAATCAAGTCCAAATTGGGGAACCTCATTCACCAAATGGGAACTAACTGCGAGCAGGTAGGCATGGCCCTTATTACAGACGTTTGAGACGGGTAGACTGATGGAAGAAGTAACCTTACCCTGAGTCTTGCATTCTGCTCAAGGGTGGGATTTGTCTAACCCTGTGATCAAATTTCTGAGAATAACCAGGCAACGTTACAGATGAAGCTGGGCATAAGGTGGCTGGCTACCCTAGTCCCCTTTATTCTCTTTCCTGTAACAGAAATTCCCAGTGTCTTATGACACCAAGCCATAGCTCTCTTCTCTATGTTGTTTGGGCATCACAGTGGCATGGCCCTCCACATTATTCATGGACACACACAGAACAGCTAGCAAACAAGAGCCCTGGGAAAGTGTATGCTAACACAAGGTCAGCACATGTTGGAGGTTTTCCTGCTCAGGACAGATGTGCAACCAAGCTTTGCAGAGGGGACCCAAGACCTCTACATCGCTAAAGAACAAAAGGTAACAGTCTGTTGCTATGGCATGTGTTTCCCATGAGAGGGGCCACTGGCCAGGGCCACCCCCCCCATGTGTCAGCTTGTCCTCTGAGCACCCCCTGGTGGTCATTTATGTTGAGTGGCTGGCTCTCTGTTCCTTGTGTCCAGGAGTGTTGTGGCCTGCCGGAGTATTGTGTATAACATAAACAGAAATGTTCTGGTACATTTCTTTGGAACATCTACAAAGAAATAGCTGATGACTAAGAGAAGGGGCAGAAGATAAACAGCATCTTCCGACAGAGTGGTGTGAAAATGTGATCATTTGAACCAGGAATCCTTGGAAGATTTTTCTTTAATGCTGTGGAGAGCCTCTGTGAGTGCCTCTTTGGGCTTTGATTTCCTCCTCTGAAAGATAAAAGTCTCAAAATTGGTTGTTGCAAGGTGTGTTTCTGGCTTTAAACTTTTAAATATCTAACAATAGATTTAATCAGTGTTTTCCGGGTGGGGGTGGTGCTGCTGCCATTTCTGCCACCTGAATTGACACCAGTCTTGGAGAATTAGTTAATTTTCTGTTGCTATAACACAATCACCAGAAACTAGGTAATGTGAAGATGATTTACCTGGTTTACTGTTCTCAGAGTTCAAGAATATGGCTCCAGTGCTCAGCTCAGCTCATAGCCTCTTTGGATATGCCAGAACACATTGACTGATGTCTCAGTAATGGTGCCTATGAGAGACAAGAACTATTTAAGTCCCATGTTCCCGCTCCTCTAGGCCCTGCTTTTCCACCATCACTAGTAACAGAGCACTTTCCTGCCTGTTCCCTGTAGCCCTGTCACTTCTTAGAAGTGTCCTTTTCCATTTGGTTAGGTCCTCAGGCCCTGTCTTTTCTGGAAAGTTTGGGGAAATATTAAACACACACACACACACATACACACACACACACACACACACACACACACACGGTGGGGGGCATGGGGGGAGTTGGCAGGGGTTGGGGGGGTATGTACACACACTCCCTTCCTTTGCTTTCTGGAGAATCTGCTTAGAGATGTACAGAGTATGCTGCCTCCTCCAGAATGCCCACCTAATTACTCTGGGGTCTGGAACCAGGGAGGAAGTGAGGTATTTTCTGTCTTGTCCTGTTCAGCGTTGTTGCTTCCTTCATGAATCTCAGGACTCTTCATCCCAGGGTTTTATTCCAAAAGGAAGGTAAAGAAGGTTTAGATGCAGAGGAACAGGTCAGGAAGGCAAGGTGGGGGGGGGAGGTGGGGGAGCAGGGAGAGGTGTGAGTCTGTCCAGATCTGTGGCTTTGCCAGGACTGTTTTTAAGTTGACACAGTGCTAAATAAAAAGCCTCATGCTTTGATGTCAGGGACTTCCTGGGCAGACTGTCTGATTAGATAAAGATCGGGTTTCCCCGCCCCCACCCTTTGGGATGTAATCTAAGCTTTGCCGTCTTCCTCGTCCTGTGTTCTGGTGTCCTTAAAGATTGACACTGTCTCCTTGGGAGCCTTTTGGGAATCCTGGGTTTTTCTTTCTGTTTCAGGAGGAAAGGGGAGCCTGAGAAAATGGGACACCTCTTCCCCCTTGAGTTCAGTTCAAGTTGTTTAGAGATAGAGCAAAACTGCTCTGAGACTCATCTGGACCTCGTCTGGCCCTGGGCATCAAAGGGAATTGATCTCTGTCTGCAACATGGTCAGCTGTAGGGACTGTGACGCAGGCGAGCTGGCAGGTGGATCATTTGGGGGAGAGAACAGTGCGTGCACTGGGTCATCAGCCAAGAAAATGGGTGGGGTATCTTTTCTCATAGGGTAACCTGAAACTCTTTAAGCCACATCCAGACACCCAAGAGATAGATGTGCCACAAGATGTCTTCAATGACAATGAGCTGACTCGCTCAGGGCAATTACATTAAGTGCTTCAATACAAAGAGCTGCCCAGTTGAAAACTGGACTAGGTTGCAGCTTCCTGCTCGGTTCAGTGTTTTGGGTTGAGAAAGGATGGCATTTCATTGCAAAAAGGTATTGCCTTCTGATATTTAATCCCATGCTCTGTAGCCATCACTATTCTAAGTGCTGCACATTCACCATTTGTACCATGTAGGATGGCCGTATAAGCAACAAACAACATGTTTACCACCCCTGCCTCACACCAGGGGGCAGAGGCCAAGGAGCACTTTTCTCAGAGTCATACAGCAAATGTGTGGCTAACTAAGAGGGCATTCAAACAGGTTAGCTGAAGAATCTGCCTCTTCTATTGCCTGAACACCCTCCATACACACTCTGACAGCCAGCAAGAAAACACCCAGAACATGAAGGTAGGGATTCAATCTGCCTCTTCTATTGCTTGAACACCCTCCATACACACTCAGACAGCCAGCAAGAAAACACCCAGAACATGAAGGTAGGGATTCAATCTGCCTCTTCTATTGCCTGAACACCCTCCATACACACTCAGACAGCCAGCAAGACATGAAGGTAGGAATTCAATATTTTCAGAAAACATTTATGAACACATGAAAATAGTCACGTAGCTATGTGGAAGGGAGTGGAATGTAGTGGCTTATTCATTGGTTTCACAAAGGTTTCTTTGAGAGCTGGCAGTGTGTGCCAGGCCTGGGTGGGTGCTGGGCACCGAGTGGTGGAGAAAACACACCAAATGTCTGTCTTCCAGAGGAGAGGCAAACACCATTCTTGCAATGAACTGCAGGGCCGGGGTCCTGGAACTTCCTAGAACTTTTCTCCTTGGGTCCAAGCAATAGTTCCCACCTCCTGGAAGGGAGGCCCTGATGGAGGGAAGCAGCCTGGGGTTGGGTTGGACCACACAGGCTGTGCAACTTTGACTATAGTTAAAGTTCACACAGGGGCTTAATCCCTGAGAAACAGACTGCCTAGTTTTTGCCCCATCATCTTCTCTGTTTCCTAAGAATCCTTATGTTTTCCTGCTGTGGAACAATCCTTTTGCACACTATGAATATGTATTACTCTTATTGACTAATAAAAGCTGATTGGCCTAATAACCAAGCAAAAAGGATAGGCAGGTGATCAAACTGGGGATACAGGGAGAAAGAAGGATGGAGTTAGAGATTTGAGAGGAGAAGCAAGATGAACATGCCTTGTTAATAATGAATCTGGATTAATTTAAAATGTAGGAGTTAGTTAGTAATAAGTCTGAGCTATTGGCCAAGCATTTAAAATTAATATAAGCCTCTTTGTGGTTATTTGGAAGCAAACTCCACCTGCATTTTTCTAACTTTGGGAACACGGACACTACAAACCAACATGCTTCCTCCTCTGCCTCTCTGCCTCTCTGCCCCCATTATCCGTGTCTTGAAAGTAGTTTGGGCCAAACAACCTCATTCTTATAGGTGGTGATCCTGTAGAAAGGTGTCCCTTTTCTAGCTTCACGATCAACAGACACACATTCATAGATACACAAACACACATGCACACACATGCATACACACCACACACACACACACACAAACACAGATGCATGCTCAGTACATGCTTTTCAACTTAGGTTTTGTATTGAGAACAAGCAGTATTGATATTTGCCTTTCTGAAGTTACAGATTCAGCTACTTATGTTAACTGAATGATTTCCAGTTACATCAGCAGTCTGCTTTGTTTACTTATTTACTTATTAAATTGATTCATTGACAATTTATGTATGTATATAGTGGATTCTGTTTATTCTTATCCCCTCCCTCATTATCTCCTTCACATTTCTGTCATCTTTCCCCTTCCCTACTGGTCCCTACTTCACATTCATATATTTTTGTTTCGTTTTGTGGCTCACTGAGTTTAATCAGAGCCACCTATGTGGCTTAGTTGCTTCTCTGAAGACAAGGAATGTCCTTCCTCCACAATCCATCAGTTACCAATAGTTGAAGGTATATGGATATGGTCACTTCTCTGACCTATGATTAGGGGTTGACAGGCCCAGTCTTAGCAGGTCCAGTGCAATCAACCACAGCTTCTATGAGATAATGTTGACAATGGCCATGTCTTGCCCAGCAGATAGCATTTCCCAACATTTCACCTTGTCTTCCAGTCTTTTATTCTTTCTGTTTCCTTTTGTTACTATCACTGATTTTTGAAATGGCACCTAATTGCCACTCCTCAGCTGGGGAGGAGCCTCCTGAGTCACTTCTCCTTCCATGCTGGTACTACTGAATAGCTTGATGTTGTGTTAGTCTTGTGCAGATAACCATAGCTGCTATGAGTTTTATGAGTGCAATGACTGTGCCATATGCAGTAGACAGTATTTCACAGTAGTCCTCCCCATCTTTGGGTTCTTCCATCCTTTTGTCTTCATCATCTGTGATGTTCCCTGAGTCTTTAGGAAGTTGGTATAGATATCCCATGGATGGATGAGCACTCGGCAGTCACTTATCCTTGGCACTTTGACCAGCTGTGACTTTAATCACTGACCAATGCACAAGTGCCTCTGGGCAAAGGCTGAGAGCAGCGCTAATCTACGCATATAAATGTATGTATTTGAGAGAATGTTTGATCGTATGTATGTTTAGCAAGACTCAAGAAGTAGGGTCTTTCAGGGCTGGAGAAATGAGTCAGTGGTTAAGAGTACTGGCCTCTCTTCCAGAGGACCAGGGTTCAGTTCCCAGCACCCACACAACAGCTCACAACTGTCTGTAGCTCTAGTTCCAGGGGGTTCTACACCCTCACGCAGACATATACACGCAGGCAAAAAACAATGCACATAAAACAGTTTTCCCTTCAGGGTCTATAACCTGCCCAGTAAAGGGGAGAAGTAGGCATAAAATCCTACCACTATCTGACACTTGATAGCTACTGCAAGAAAGAGTCCGTTTTCTTTAATGATGTAACCTCTGACAGATCAGCCACACTACAGAACAGGGCCTACTCCTAAGAGTAGTTGGACAATACAAACTGGATTTGATGGCAAGAGAAGAAGAAAAATCAATCCAAGATGGACAGGGGAGTGAGGGTGAAGGTGGTAGGATATGGCAAGAGTTGGGGAGAGTGAATATGATAAAAATATACTGTATGGTATTTTCAAGGAATTAATAATATTTAAAAATCAAGTCTGGATCCCGAATTATGGACGTAAGACCCTACAGAAAGCTTCTTGACTGGCTCTCCATTTCTTACTTTTCAAACCCTTAATCAGATCATACTTGAAGGATTAATTTAACCATTCTTATCCACAAAATAATTTTCTTTTTTTTTGTAACAGAGAGTGAAGGAATAATATTAGGATCCCTAGATCTGAAGACAGTGTCTTTCCTTCCAAACAAGTGGGTATGACTGCTGGAGACTGGACCCTATACCCTAGGATGTAGTGGTTACTGTCCTATGGACAGTAAGGTTGCCTATGGACAACAAATAGATGTCATCTCCCCCCCCCACCAAGTCATATATGCACTAAACAATAGTGCTTCTCAGCT